CGCGGCGGCTCCTCCGCGCGGCCGCCCGACGGTCGCGGCCACGGCCATGCGGCCACGCGCGCCTGTCAAGACGGACGCCTCGGGCACAGCCACGCACAAGTACGCACGCTGCTGTCACCTCGCCCGCGGCCCGCCCGCCGGACACCCCGGGGTGGGGGTGGGGGCGCACCGGGACCGCCTGTGGCGAAGGCATCCCTAGAGAAAAGCCTTTCCTCTGACCACCACTGCTTGGCTCACCCAGGGGGACCTGGAGCCCGCACGGGGAGAGGAGGTGGTGGGCCACACACTCCCTCTAGACGCCCAGTACCTAGCAGAGGCTGACTTCCACGCCCAGGGTGACCCCTATGCCCGGGGGCGCTCCCCATCCTCAGGATCTGGGCCTCTGGGCTCGCCCACTTTCTCTCAATCTCACCTTTGTCATTCAAGGGAGCCCCTCCACCACCTCTCCACACTCCTGCGTCTCCCCAGGTACCACACTGCGGGGCAGCAGTGCATCAGTAGAGGAGGCCCACTCTAAGCCCACCTGCCCCTGGGCCTGGGAGACCCCAGGAGAACCCTGCCCCTACCTTGGCTCCAGGACCAGGGGCTGCCTAGCTCACAGGTAGAGGGGATCACCCTTCAGAACTCCAGGCCCTTACCCCGGCTTGGAGGGACCCACTATCAGCTCCCCACCCAGGTCTGACCAGGAGGATGGCTGCTGGGGCTTGGGGTGGGAGGGTAGGGAAACCTAGAGAATGTGGAGGGCCTGAAGGCTGTCTTTGCCCAGCCTTTTGGGCCACACCTCCCCAGCTGGGTCCTCTGGGCTCTGCTCTGCCCTTCCCATCTGCCACATGTCTCCAGCCCAGCCTCCCTGCTCTGCCACAAACCCACTAACCCTGGGAGTCCTACCTCCCACCCAAGGAATCCAGAACTGAACTCCCCCCACCCAACTGCCCTAACCCACCCCCTAACCTCTCCCATGTCTGGGAAACACCTATCCATTCCTCAGGGCCCCCAGCTCCAGTGCCCCTAGAGCACTTCGTGGGCCAAGATTTGGGGCCCCTCTTTTGTCCCCCCCCCAGCACTCCCTGCCTGGGAAGGCAGCCCCGAGGGGCCTGGGTCAGGGCAAGCATTCAGGTGAGCTCCTAGCAGGAGGCCATACCTCCCTGTGCCTCAGTTTCCTGTCTGCAGGATGGGGGAACAAATAATTTCAGATTACAGGAGCTAACGTGTCCACAAGTGCCGTACAAATGTGGGGTCTATTTTATGGCCTCCCGGGGCAGCAGGGGTACCCTGGCAAGCCGTCCACGGGGATGAGAGCTCCTTTGGGTGGCCTGAGTCACATCGGTACCCAGCGCCCTGCTGGGACTAGGCCCAGCTGGCTGCCAGACCTCCCCGGTCCCTCCTCCCTCCTGCCCCGGAAAGAACTCTGACTCTCCAGGCTTCCCTGCCATATCTCTCCACGCTCCAGGGAAACAGGACTAGTGTTTTTCCCAAACACAAGCTCTACTTTCCTGCCCCCAGGTCACTGTTCCTGCCACACCCTCCCAGGACCACCTTCCTTACCCTGACTCAACCCAGCCTGCAAGGCCCAGCTCCAAGCCCCCAGCTCCACAAAGCCCCCCTTGACGAGCCTCCCATGCAGCCAGGGCGCTCGGGTGTCCCCACACGGAACCTGCGCCTCCTGCTTCCATCTCTGGGATTGCTTTCATTGTTGTCCATTGGGTTCTGGTCTTTTCTCCCCACTCTCCCCATCAACCCAGCTGGGGAAAGACCTAGATTACTCACATGTGTGTCCCTCCTCCCCCACCTCGGGACCTTGGCCAGGCTATGTGTAATCGTCAGGACCCTATTGTTCACAAATGACAAAAATCCACCTCAAACAAGCCCAAAAGGGATCTATTTGCTCATGAAAGTGGCAAGTGCAGTGGCTGAAGTATTCACGCACAGCTGTGAACCACAGCCCTCCACCCTAGCGTGGCACAGAGCAGGTGCCCAAGGAATGTTCTTGAATGAATGGCCAGGATTAGGGGGAGCAGGCAGAGCCAGAGGGGACCCAGGGAGAAGGGAAGAGGTTGAACCAGACTGCTGGGGCCTCCCCAGGACCCCTCACTTTCAGCACACCCTAAAGACATTCAGTGGGCGCCTACTCTGTGCCTGACACTGCTTGCAGTGGGGCCACAATGGTGAATAAAGCCAGACACGGTCCCTGCCTGGTGGACAGGCGCCAACCAGATACCCCCCAAAGTGGGGCACTTGATGTCACAAGGTACCCACACCACCCTGGCAGTGGCTCCTCAGAGCCAGCCTATCACCCCATTTACAGAGAAGGACTCTTATGGCCTGAACCGTGCCCTGCAAATCCACGTTTTAGTCCTACCCCGCAGGACCGCAGAACGTGACTGTATTTGGAGACAGGGCCTTTAAAGAGGTGACTGAGTGAAAATGAGGTCATATGGGTGGGCCCTGATCCAACAGAACTGGGGTCCTTATAAGAGGAGATGAGGACACAGACACACACAGAGGGAAGACGTGAAGACACAGAGAAGACGGCATCTACGTGCCAAGGAGAGCAGCTTCAGAAGAAACCAACCCTGCAGACACTTTGATCTTGGACTTCAGCCTCCAGAACTGTGTGGAAATAAATCTCTGTTGTTTCAGCCGCCCAGTCTGTAGTATTTGTTACGCCAGCCCTAGCAGGCTACTACAAGGACACAGGTTCTGAGAGGCCACTTGGCCCTCAGGGCCACATCGCTGGTGGTCAGCAAGGCCACCCCTCTGGCTGGAAGCTGAGCTGGCCAGGGGGAATGGCAGAGGGCAGAGCTGTGCAGAACGGGCATCGTCACACTCTGAGCTGGGTAGGCAGCTCCAGGAGGGTGGCCTGGAGCTGCACACACCCCGGGCCGGCTGGGCCCTCAGAACCCCTGTCTCCCGGCCTCAGAGCCCCGGAGAGCATCCAGGGACAAGATGACTCAAGAGAAGCCCAGGCAACAAGCAGAGGATGTCAGCAGCCAGATGAAGGCACACAGAAAGAAGCTGGCAAGAGGCGCGGGCAGCAGAGGGTCAGGCAGACCAGAGTTCACATCCTGGCTCTTCCCTCTGGCAGCCCACCCCACCCAGCACCCAGCCGGTGCCCCAGGGTCCTTGAATTGGCCTTGGCACTCGACATCTGAGCCCTCCTTCCACATGCACACAACCCATGTCTCATAGGACGCTGACGCGGAGGACTCAGGCGCTCCAGGGCAGCAAGGACAGGCGGAACGGGACTGCAAGCCCAGGGGCCTTGCTCTTCCCTGAGGCCCCTGTCCCCGGATCTGGCAGCACCTGGCCCCGAGCGGCCCCTGGGTAGTGGTGGCGAGTCTACTTTCGTCACGATGAGTGTAGCCAGGGCTAGGGGAGGAAGGAGGCTGGGTCTGGAGCAGCTGGAAGGCCAGAGGCAGCAGTAGTGGGGGTGGGGAGTTGGGGGAGCAAGCCTGGGGGAGAGAGAGCCCCACTTGTTCTGTTTAGCTCTGAAAAGGCAAGAGGACAGCCCACGGAGTTCAGGCTTATGCCAGGGGCAGTAGGCAGCCATGGAAGGATTTTAAGGAGGAACGACAGGATCCTATCGGTGCTTTTGGCAGAGAAAGCCTCCTGCCTCTAGGATGCTTCCAGAGGGTCTCAGGGTGACAAGCAGGCGGGAGGGGGCAGAGCCCTCCCCACAGCTATTGGACTTGTCCCTTGTCTAGATCACAGATGGGGGAGATGTGGAGAATAAAGCCCACCCCACACTGTGGCTGCTGCCATAAGTAGAAAGACCACTCAGAGGCTTGTGGCAGAGCCGGCTGAGGGTCTGGAAGGGGGCTGCTGTGCAGTGGGAGGACGGCTCAGAGTTCTGGAGATGTGGAGGACCACAGGCCAGGAAGCCCCCAGCTCCCCAGCAAGCAGCCGTCTGCCCTGGGCACCCACATAGCCTCCATCGGGCAGTGACAGCCGCCCCAGGAGCCAGCAGGCTGACCTCTGGATCACGCGTTTGGAAGGATGGGGACAGGGAGGGAAGCCTGGGGGCTGGGCCTCCCCTGAGCCCCCCTGCAAGAACTGCACTGGGTGCTCTAAGGCCTGAGGGCCAACCCCAGGGTGGAAGCCCCACTCCACGTTTCCTTTCGTCAGAGGGGCCCTCACCTTTGTCCGCCTTTTGCTGGAGGACTCGGTCTGCACTTAGCAGAACCCACTTTCCCAGCCATGGGGATAAAGCGCGGGCTCCCGCGTGCGGCCTCCACCACCTAACCAGCCTAACCCCCGGCTAGGGAGGTGGCAGGGGCTTCCTGTGCCCATTTCACAGATGGGGAAATGAAGCCCCAAGGGGTCATGACTTGAACCAGCATCACACAACTATGAGCCCACAGCCCCCGTGTCCCTATCACTTCACCAGCCTCGAAAGACCGGGGGCAGTGACAAAGTGACACAGCCAAGGGGCAGAAAGATCCCCTGGGGCTTGAAGAG